TGATGTACCTTTCCTAAATAATCTAACAATGTTTATCAAGGACGTCAGTAACCTCCGATTGCACTACTGTAATTACTATCATTTACCTTGTTTGTGCATGTATCTGTAAAATGTTTAACTGTTTGTACGTGGGCCTGAGTCCTTAATACTGACATAAAATCATCTGATCTGGCATATTTCCAAAATACACGACCTCAAGTTTTTGTTGTTTGTAAACAAACGTGGAATTCTGAAATCAGAACGTATTGGTGCAACGAAAGCTCTCATTTGCGGCTTGCATTACAGTAATCTTAAACTTTTAGATTCTGTCCTCCACCAAGGTCTAAGACTATGTCTTGGTTCCTTTAGAACTTCACCTGTTGACAGCCTATATGTCGAGGCTGATGAGCCATCACTTACACAACGCCGTATAAAATTAACTTTACAGTATATTACAAAACTTTATTCAAATGAGTCAAACCCTGCATATAACTGTGTCTTTAATCCACTATATGAAGATCTGTATAACAATAAGCCTTCTCTTGTTCCGCCTCTTGGTATAAGAGTGAAACCTTTTCTTTCTGCTGCTGGCATTGAGCTAGAACATATAGCTCCTTCCCGTTTTCTTTCTTCTCCGCCTTGGCAATTGGTTAGGCCACAAGTTGATCTAACATTAACTACATTTAAAAAATCAGAAACAAATGAATTACAGTATAAACAAGAACTTAGCCAATTAAGAAATAAATATACTACATACAAATCCTTATTTACAGATGGGTCCAAGGATGGTGGCGCACTGGCATGTGCCACTGTTATTGGATCCAGAACAATATCTTCTCGAATACCAGATAACAGCTCTATATTTACAGCAGAAGCAAACGCCATCTTAACAGCTCTTAAATATATTAATAAACACCGTAAATATAAACAATATATTCTCTTTCGTGTCTTCAGGCTATTAAAAATCTTTCTTGCAAACATCCACTTTTATTAGAAATTATTGAAATGTACAATGAACTTGCTACTGGCCAATGCGACATCGTCTTTTGTTGGTTGCCCAGCCACGTTGGCATTTCTGGGAACACGATGGCTGATATTGCTGCTAAGGCAGCCCTCAACAAATCTGTGACGCCACTTCTTATCCCATACTCTGATTATAAAGCCAGCATTAGAACATACATCCGCGATCTGATGCAAAAGAAGTGGGACACCCAAGTAGGTATTAATAAATTACATGCAATAAAACCCTACATTGGTTACACCTACTTGGGTTGTCAGTCCAGATTTGAAGAGGTCATTATGCGACGATGTCGCATTGGCCACACTAGATATACTCACCAATATTTACTGAAAGGCGAAGATCCTCCGTTTTGCATCCCTTGTGATGAAAGAATCACAGTCAAGCATGTCCTGCTTGACTGTGTTGAATATTCCATCACAAGGGATAAGTATTTTAATGTCAAGACATTGAAGGATCTTTTTTTATAATGTTAATTATCATTTAATAGTTGAATTTTTAAAAGAATTAGATTTGTGGACTGATCTGTAAATAGTTAAATATTATATTGTTGGTAGTTTCTATTAGTAACTGAGATTGTTAGTGGCTGTACCCTTAAAGGGGGTTGACGTAGCGTAAAATTATTGTCCTCCTGAGAGGGTACGTAAGTCCCAAAACTTTCAATGTCAATTTAAACTTGCCAGGATTTTTTAAACGTAGTATTCTTGTTCTTTTAATTTTGGCTAACATTTCTTCCAATCGCCAGCAGCTGAAGGGATGGTGTAAATCCAGCTAGGGTCCATGCAGGTAGCAAAAGTAATGTAAGTCCCCATGGTCCCTAGTATGGTGATCTAACTTCAGTTGTTGGCGATCTATTGCCTATTTTTATATTGTGCTGTCCCCTAAAGTTAAAATGTTTTAGATTTAATTACTAGTTTTACATGTATATCTGTGATATTCTAGTTATTTTACTGTCCTTCGTTGGCAGAATTTTATAATTTCACTTAACTTGTTGATATATTTATAACTTGCTCTAGTCACGATATGGCTGAAATATTGCCGATGTGACTTAAAATCCTAACTCACTCACTCACTTGCATTACAGCACGTGGAACTGTATGTAGCGGGTCCCGTGCCTTCTGATCCGTAGTCGGACGCTTTGTCCACATGATCAAAGAGGTTTACCCCGTCAGCAAGCTCACAAGGTAAGGATGTCATCTGTGGGATGACTCCACGCCCTGTTACATGTACAACAAATGTAAACAAAGGATAACTACCATAATGGACTGACTGACTGAGTTTGGTTTTACGCCGATTTTAGCAATATTCCAGCAACATCACGGCGGGGGGACACCAGAAATGGACTTCACACAATGTACCCATCTGGGGATTCGAACCCGGGTCTTCGGCGTGACGAGCCAACCACTAGGCTACCCCCACCGCCCCACCATAATGGAAAGGGTAGCCCGTTTAAAGATAGTTTCTCAATGAAAGTAAACCTTTCTATCATATATTGTTTTATCTAGACGTACAGACATTTACAGACCCTGAAACACATATGTCCAATGCAGCCATAGCAAATCTAGGACATGATACATAATTACCGCAGTTTTAAGCTGAAAATATAGAAAGTCTCTCGGCTTCTTTTGATTACACGTTATCAGGAAAATTTAGGAACTGCTTTTTCTGTAAAGTTAGTTCATTTCAGATGTTAGTTTATATCTTGACGGACTGTGTAAGATGTGACGATTTGTCACACTTTGGCTCCCCGTGTCAGAAGCAGCCTCCTACTCAGAGTTCCTTGCGGCGGCCATTTGACTTCTACTAGAGGCATCCGCCATGTATATGTGTTGATTCGTCAGCAAGACAACACAACCAGTCGGAGTGGAATCTGTGGTGTAAACAACCACACCGACATGAAATTGGGGAATATACAGGCATGGTACAGCAAGTGACTGATTAGTTTCATGTGGTTGTAACATGCAGCGTCACTAACAACAGCCACACTTCATCACGACACCATAACATCCTAAACGGCAGTATCGGGGTCTTGGAAAAAAAACAGGCTGTGGGACGAAGATTACGACTGTATCCAAGCTCAGTGAGCGGTGCAAGCAAATGTCCGAAACGATTACAAGGAGGTCCTACTGTCGAATAATCTACATTGAAGAAACATGGGCGTTTCGAGTGTTTATTCAATGTTCTTTGAGTTTATCAGGTTTGCTTCATTATCGCCTTGGGATTGCACAGATGTGACAGAACGTATTTACACTAAGGTGTGAGAAGTGAGCAGTATGACGAGGGACGTCACTCATTCAAGGACGCTATGCTGTGTATTAATGTGCAGCTGCGATGAGAAACTATGAAATATACATCTAAAGTGGTTTCATGGTGTGTACGCACAGATTACAGCACAGGTATGGGAAAAATCCTCAGTTATCCCACAACTGGTTGTTTCAAAACGTATCTCGTTTTCCTTCGTTTGATAAGTTTTGAAACAACTCGTGGTAGGTTTAATGGTATCTGACATGCAGGCACTGCTAGAGTTATCTTAATCTTCAGAAGCAATGGTCAGTGAGAAACCCACATACACATATGAAATAAACTCATGACATCAAGACACTGGTACTGCTCTGGGGACTTTCGTTATGCCTGTCATCGTTACCACTTTATACATTGTTGCATGTACTTTATGATTCAAACTCAGCACCATTTTTCCATACAAGTATACCTGGAAACTGTCAGAGAGATAAAATCTAAAGATTTAATGATTGCATGGGATATATAATATAGTTTCAGCACCATAGTTTCGACAGAGAAATAATCGCTGGTGACATGTAGATGTTCGGCATTGGTTAAACACTTTACAGACATCGTCATCCATTGTTGTTACAAAAACCATCTTCGGGCTCCAAGCTAACATCCAACTTGCCATGTTTCCATTCAGCTTAAAGCAGACTTCCAAGACAGATGGAAGAACGAAGAAGCTAATTGTCTCAGTTTCACCTGAACCTTCCTCTATTCAGGTACTTAGACTTTGGGGACCGCTCACTGTGGACAGGTTTGCGTCACTGTCATCCCGTCAAATAGACTGTACAACAGTAGTTGCCAGGATCCAGCTGACTGCTGGGCACTAACAGACTCGTATCAGCTTTGTCCATTCACCGTTCAGATTCTTGCAAAAGGTAAACATGAGCAGATTTGCACATCGCTGACTGCTTTTGGTTTCAAACAATTAAACCTGAGGTGTCATACTCTCGGAAGAAGTAGAACCATACCAACTGCAGTCTGCGTGATTTACTGTGTTAGGTTCTATCGAACATGTGGCGGAAATTAATCGTTACAATACAAAATGTATATTGTATGTGAATTGTCTCTTTTTCTAAATTTCTGTGGCTTTTTCTACTTGAAATGTGTGCATATTCCATAGCTTGTTTGCCTTCTGCTCGGGTTTTATTAGTATTGCTGTAAAAGCAGTGTCTTTGTTTCAATATCAAATTGTGATGATACCAGGCGTTCGTAATTGCCAGTTCTGTTAGGTCCCCTTGGACATTAGTTAGGAACTAATTATACCAGTACTCATCTATTATGTCTCCCGGACAGATCTCATTGAAAAAAAAAGACTTTTCTTTGTTACTGATTCTGAATTTCATACGGTTGAGATAATTTATACTCACAGTTACACCCAATATGATATTTTGTTAACGCGTACAAAAATACCTTAGAGTATAACTAATGAACACTAATAATCAGGAATTTACAGACAAAAAAGATTGACAACAAAAATGATTGGATCAGAATCGTTTATCAAATAAAGGTACAGATCATAAAGGTAAGGTCTGCATGAAATCATTCGATTTACAGGGTGTGATTATGTACAGACCTAGAATACGACTATTGTAACTTTATGGTATCAAATATCAATGCATACAAATACAAGAACAACATTCAGACTTCCAACAAAGCCCTTTAGAACAATCTTTGGTAAAGAATAACGCAATCAACTACGTACCACCAGAAGCAATTATTGCTGTTTCTTACACAATGCACACTGAATTCTCCGAGAGTAATACTGAGAGGCATACCGTTCCTGCAGTGGCTTTGTGTTATTTTGGTCAACGCACGGTATTTCTTCCATAGATCTACCCTGGTTCTCAGCTAAGTCACATTCATCAATGTCACTTTCATGCTGTCCACAGGAAGAACGCAAGGGATACTTGCTAGGTTCTACCAGCATTTTGTACCGCTCATAATCTGTATCAGGATGTCGTGGGAAAGGACACATTGGTCTAGTGTGTACATCATGGTCTTTTGCTGAAACACTGCTGGCGCCTCCTTGTGGATGGAGGGACTGGGAAACATCTGAAGTGGGCGGATGACTATGCACATAGCTTCTTAACTGGGTAGGCAGCTGGGATGCAACGTAAGTCTGACTTATGTGGTCTGTCGTATGTGGTTTACTACTGCAGATGGCAATAGTGGAGTTGGTGACCTTTCTGATGTTGGAACTGGATGTATGGCTTAGCCATAATTCTGGCATTGGGCAAGCTTTCTCCAATGAATTGTCATGCATTGCCCCTAAAATACAACCAGTTGCAATCTCGTATGCCTCCAGTTTGTACATAGAATCCTGTTTCTGTCGAGAATTCTTGCCCGTCAATCCTATTTCTTCCAGTTTAATCTGCAACTGACCAAAGGCTTTTTGGATGAGACTATGAGCAGCTGCAGTGACCCTTTCCCTGATTTCACTCCCAGAATAATGTGCTGCTGGAAGAGGTTTACTTGAAGACATTGACATCTGCTGCTTTCTACAATGCATCATGTATGTTGCCATTTCCTGCTCAGCTCTGTACAAGACTTTGTGTGCAAGCTGTTCATATTTTCCAGACAACACCAAAGCAGCAACAAATGCTGATGCTGTATTGTGTATTAGCCTATCATTCGGGCAATTTGTCTCTGCATTGCTGCCACTGTATGCTGTTGTCTCAGGTTTGGCTATGGTGCTCGTTGACGTTAGGGGTGGAATAGACTTCGCTGTTTGAAGTTCCTTAGAGTCAGTATTGCCTCCAGCCTCTTTCATTACTTTACATTCTTCACTGAGTTCTAAAGGTATATTTCCCTCAACACTGTGCTCATCAGATACGTTTGACTGATGGGATGGGTCAAAGAAGGTACTATCGCCCATGTCTTCTCTCAGATCAGTTTGTAGACGTTTCCTATTTGACAGTTGACCTTTTTTACTGAGAGCTTGTCTATGGCCAGTGCCCTTCTCAGCCAAGCTTGTAATGCCAGTTAAAACTTCAGTGATGTAATTCTTGGTATACTGAGCTACTATCTGACACAAATGTTCGTCTGTGGCACGCTTGATGACAGACAGGTCTCTGATTCCTGTATTACACCACCTTCCCTTTGGTAGCTTGCTTTCATTTACTGTTCCAGAAGCAGTGGAAGTAATATCTGAAGAAGGCATCTTCTTTGAAATACTTTTTTTATTCCATTTGCCTGAGTGTACCTGCACAGCATTGTCATTGAAACGTGACATGACGCTTTGGGGATCTCCACATTTTTCCACTGGCCCCTTATATGGCTTTGGGGGTCTTTGCTTTTTTTTATTTTTCGCTTTTTTGTTATTTGCTATCTCTACTATTTTCCTGTCTGCGCCTCCTGACAGATTGTGTGACAGCTGATCTGATTTTTCTTCAGCAAAAACCGAACTGTGATTAGTAGCAGAGTTCTGTTGTTCAAGAATATTGTTTGGCAAAATGTATACAGCATACTCCATTAAACCTTTTTGTGACCCAATATTATTGAAGAAGTTGTTCTGCTCTCCTTTAAGACAGGCCTTGTTCTTACTTTTTCTTTTCCAGAAACTGTTTTTCTGTTTTGAGCTACCAACTTTAACCACATTACAATCTTCTGAGCCTGATAGTTCACCACAATTACCTTCAGTTGGGACAAGTCTTTCATACGTTGCAAACGTTTTGGGATGTCCTACCTTTCCATCTATCTCACACAGAATAGTATTTGGCGAAGAATGAATAGCTAGTATTCGTTTCTGTTCGGCGTGGCACGCATCCCGTAATTTCCTGTGATATGAATGTTGATGTTCACTGTTCACAAGTGGTTCCGCTTTTGAAGGCTTGGCGGGCATGCAAAGTGGTGAAGTTGGTTGCAGTACACATTTACGGCATCCAGTTTCTGAATCAGTTTCAAAAGTTTCACTTTTTTCATCTACATCATAATATTGTGATTCACTTTGCATGTTGTGGTTAGTGGCAGGAAGCACACAATCAGTCTTATCCTGTAATTGTTGAGCAATTTGTGTTTCTGTTATACAGACAGGATACTGCACTTTAGGATGCCAGTTTACTTCTGCAGCCCCATTTTCATCTGCAGCTAAAGACACCTTTACACCTCTGTTATCGTTGTGACTGCTAAATCCATTGAAACTCCTCTGTTCAGGGTGTTTTATACATTGACTTTGCTGCACTGCTGGTATGAGGCGATCTTTACAAGGTTTGTTTAATGCGACTTTGTTCTTTTCACTGCAATTGCCCTCGTTTGCATCTACAGCTTGTTCGACCTTTTCTCCACGTGTTTCACCAATTGTGGAAGCTATGTCTATACATGATTTGAAATCATACCACGGTTCAAATTTCTTGATGACATTCTTCATCCATGAAGATTTCAAAGGTGGCTTTGCAAGGCCAATGCTGTCTTCAATAGACGTTTTGTGCTCTTCATTAGCTCCTAGCTTTTGCTCTGAAAGCGATGTTTTATAATTAGCTCCCCTCTCATCCATTGGATGTAGCATGACATTAAACATATTTCTTTGGAATTCATTTGCAGTCTCCCGTAGTGACACAGCAATTGCCGTTTTAGCAAGCTCGCGGGCCACATGATCAATAATCACATTTGATAACTGAGGCTGAAGTGAACTTTTGAATCCACCACTGTAGGATGTGTGTGGCGAAACAATATCCGAAGTGTGTGGAGATGATTGAGTAGATGAATACAGTAATGACTCCTCAATAAGCTGGCATCGAGTGTTATCATCGGATGCAAATAAAATTTCCTTTTTGTTGGGCATTGTCATAGATGTATTTAGGTCATATGAGATTGGACCGAGTTCAACACGGCGTGGTTGGTGTGTTTCAGTGTCTGCCACGTTGGAAGATACAAACGACACACACTTTTCTTCTGACAGAGTCTGACATAGGTCCACCCGTTTACCAGTATGCTCAACTTTCACCAAATCTTGGTCCTCTGACGATGCCTCATCTGAAGGTTTATCAAGCGCAGTCTCTATTGACTGTGAGGAGACTTTGTCTTGAAGGGGATAGAAAGTTCTATCAGGTCTGTCAACCAGCATGCTACTTCTCCTTTGTGATTCCCCGTTGAAAGTAACAATATGTGTCTCCTCGCTGTTTGCACAAAGTTCACTCAGAGACAGGATGTCGTCGTCATCCTGAGGAACAATAGATTCAAAATCGCATATCTCATCAACGGAGGATGTATCACAAAAGCTGAGGCTGAGGCTGAGACATGGTGGCCAATTATCCGAATCCTGGAAACGCTGACGTTCCTCAATGATAGATGAAATATTCGATCGTAATGAATGAAATGAACTTCCTGTCTCTGTCTGACCCTCTTGAATACTTGACCCCTCAGTCAGACTTTCGCCCATGCATGTGTAACAATCTGGTGCTTTGTCGGGTTCAGCATGCCCATCTTCATCACGTTCAGACGTGCTCAAGATAGCAGCATTCTCACTACTAGGGGAGAGTGCGTAGATGGAACTGACATCACTGATATCACTGCTTGAAACTCGGCTTGTTACTTGGGCTGTGTGCACAAATGCTGGAGACCAGGACCCATCTCTACCAACATCTGATTTGAAAGATAAATATATCGTTAAGTTCCAACATTACATAAATTGATACTGAGTGAATGTGATGCATATCTCCTCAGTGTAACAAGAGAATACATTCGTCCCACGAGAAAGAATACTGTTTCGATTCTTAAGCGAGTGGTCTCTTTCCTTCTTTCATTCAAAAGACAAAACGAATGCTTATGTCAATCTATTGTTCTGATGAGTAAATGCTATTGCTTTGTGACTTGAAGAACATTGGAACAGTTCATATTGTTCTTATTGCAATGCAGTGGTTTGACGTGATAGTAACTGACCAATCAGGATTGGTAGTAAGATCGCTGTTACAATCATTTTGATTAAACGTAGGTTTGATCAGTACCGATCAGAACGAGGGATGATTCACATGGTAGAGTTTGGTGCCTTGATCCAATACATCTGATCTAAGCATCTACCAGAACGTGTAAGCTCAACGCAAAACGTGTCAGATGAAACCTTTACTTTATTTGAAATATGTCCCTCGGTTTAGTTCAGTCATTACAATCACAGTTATTGCATTGTTAAAGTATGGGAGTTACGATTATTTTTTTAATTGTATTACGACATGTCAGCAGGTCAGCTGATGTTTAACAGCCCCCACACCCCAGATGACAACTTCCACAGACAAGATACATATAACAACTGTCTGACGCATCATGGGTCATCTTCAAAGACATATTGTCTGGGTCACTCACCTTCACAAGATGCTAAAGACGCTGTTCCGGGTGAGGAAAAGTATCGACCTTCCTCAACAGACGATTCACCGTGCGAGAGAAACAAGTCTCCGCCACTTCCACCAGATAGGAAGACATTGGAACCAGTCGAGTGGTTGCTATGAGACAGGAATGTAGAGCTATGGCAATCAGAAGTTGCTATTTCAGTGTTGCTTGATGGAACAGCCATTACCTGTGATTCTGGATATAGGCAGTAACCTTCCTCGGCAAAGTCTTCTTCTCCTACAAATGGTTGACACGTTATTATCTAAACTGGATAATATGGCATCGCTATCCTTTCTGTCACTGAAACCGGTTAGCTGCACTTTATACATACACCTTTTTACTCTATTCATGTATTTGAAATCAGAAGACACTTAAGTATGTTTATCTATGTTCTATTTACCTGAAAGGCTTTAAACAATATTTACAATTTAGAACACCTGGAAATTTGGTAAAGAAGATTTGTATTCATTTCACAGATGATAAGGTTCGGACCTCTCACTAGTATGATGTGGGTTAAAAGTTGGGTAGCATGTGCCACTGTGACGTCAGTTACCTTGCTGATGTGGGTCTCTGTGAGTACGTTCAACATCAGATGACAAACAGGTGTGTTGTGGCGACGCGCCTAGTGGCACAGGATGCATGGGCCCCCACGCTGACATACTGCTGAAATTATACGGAAACAAAATTCTGGGAATCCCTTTTCACAATTGCATTGCGCTTGAAATCAATTAATTATCACTTTAGTTAGTTGCATAAAAGTTTGCTCTGAGCAACGGTTCCAAGCAATGAAAATATCAATCATGCATAAGACAGTGCATCAATCGTTAAAATAAGTCTAGCAAAGTCTGTTTATGTACAGATTCATGAACTAAGCCTCATTTACTTGTAACGAGGTTTACTCATGGAGTATACAGTAAAGGCAGTCGACTGCACAAACAAACAAAAGGGCGATGCTTGCCAATTGGGGTTTTGGCAGATGCTCTTAAGCCATAGATTCGCACCCGTTAAAACCTGTTCACTTGCCACCGCAAGTAAATTTACTGGTGTAAGTACAAATGCACACATGAATATAACTGTCCATGTCAGTGGGGCTTAAGTTCAGTTGTCATATCATCTTGTAATAACATGTTGCTCTAATGCCACAATAATTCAAACATTTAATTCAAACAATGAAGATTCGTCATGATAACTACAACCGGAAGTGACATCTTCATGAAGACATCTTTAAAAACTGTGTTCGTTTAGTTGTCATGGTCTATAGATATCACAATAACCTTGTCCCGACTGGTGGTGATCATTTTCGTATCATTGTTATGTTAGATTAAAATAGAATGCAGCAGAGAAAGGTTGGATGGTCCTGGCACAGTCATCCTGGATAGGCTCATTATCAGCTCAGTTAAACTCTCTACACACAGCCTAGACAGCGAATTCCCTTCTCTCAGGAAGCACTTGCAAAGTCGAACCCACCAAGATGTTTCCGGAAAATATGTAGACTTCCCAACACTTCTGCATTACCCAAAGTGTCAGAGCTGTGCTCTCGTTTGAAACCCGGGCATTTTCCTGATCTGCGTCAAGAGATCAGAAGGTACCAAACTCAGGGGGACAGAGAACAATGGGGAGTCTGAAGACTTGGGATGCAAACGGAACAGTTTAAAGTCGAAGTTCGCATATTGATTATGCTTTTCCTGAACCTTGCCAATCACAACGTTGTCAAAAGAGACAGAAAATTCAATAACAAATAAATTCATTAGCTATATCAAAAAGGATATTCACAAGATCAGTTTTGCTGGAGGGATATTTTCTTAGGCTTTGCATGAACATATTCTAAAGTAGTTTAAAAGCATCATTTTCCGTGACACCCTGAATAATCATCATGATAATCATCAGGAACTTCACTCTGCGCCAGTGCATTAGCACTATATTGTATTCTGTTAGTTAAAGGTCACATGCAACGTAAAACACAACTTTGCAGATTCTGATACCTTTCGGTATGGACTTACCGAAACAAAGCGTCAAAAAATGCAAATTCAACTTATAAAGTTGAAAAATAACGCGATGAAAAAAACCGCGCGAAATCGGAGTTCAAACGTTTCACTAAATTTCCCCAGACTTTTCTGGGGAATACGGGTTTCAACAGCCGGGCTGCGCTCATAGCACGTGCGCAGTGAAATAGGTTCGCGCAACTTGGAAGCGGGCTGTCTGGTGAATACTCGGTGAAGGCTTTGGTGTGAGCTATTTTCATAATGTTTTGTTGATATCTCACAGGCGCGAGCATTTTTGTATGGTATGACAGTAAATAAACTGTTTATATAATTTCATTTGTCTATTTCACCACACGTCCTTCTTACCGAGTCACTTTCTCAGTTCGATACTTAAAAGCAATGTCATTATTTAGAGTTGACACAATTTCTAACTGTGATATAGATATGTCGCTGTCACAGACAAAACTCAATGTCTTGTTTTATTGACACCTGTGTGTCTGCCTGCCTGTCTGCTAATGACAATATTCAATACACAACTGCGATCACTGACCACATGCAATTTGAACTTAACACCAATCAGGCTATACACCATAAACAAAACGCATTGATTTATGGCCCGAGTTCGGTCTCTGTCACATTATGTAATTACACAGACAGGCAGGTGTGATACTTGAACACATGACATGTTATGATGTCTGTTGATTGCAAAATGTTATACACAAAAAATGAGCATGTATTTACAAAACCCAACTTTCTATATATACACACACAATAAGCCGTGAAGGCGGCATCTGCTAATGAACCAGCCGTTACACTTGAGTGCACACCCACCCGCTGTGACTGGGTTCGGTATCCCGGCTGCTTCGTTTCGAGGGAGGTAAACCCAAGCACAAAATATTGCACTTTTGATTTGCAATTATACGCTTATAATTTTGTTTATTTGTTTTTTCATAATCAGCAATGCATATTATATGTCATGAAGAAGTGATAATTGTGTTTTAATTATGTTTGATTTTTTGATTGCATGTGACCTTTAAGACGTACAGAGTTACGTCCCTTTATCCATCTGTGGAGACGTATAGAGTTACGTCCCTTAGTTCACTCTTGCTCCTGTGACCGCGTCTCTCTCGAGCGGCGTGCGTTGTGTACGGTCCTGAATAAAATCGTTTGAGAAGACATTCGGTGTCCCTTGAATGTGAGAAGTGCAATACACAAAAGGTGACGTTTCTACCTTAGTGGCGTGGTGGCAGCGACGACTAGAACCGTCGTTTAACGAATCTAATGAACTTTTACGTCATTTTTAGTGTTGTATCTCTCTCGAGGTCAAACCGCCATATTGAATCTGGATAACACCGTTTCACTCCAATTCAAGCAAACATGACTAGTACACAGCGTGCCCCCAAACAGTGGTCACTCAGTAGGACAGAAACAATAAATTCCTTCGAAAACTGGCGACAAAATTTAGTATACACCTTATCTTTGGACACCAAATTCGCTCCTTACCTCGCCGAAGGTGTGACATGGGAGAAGAAGGGCAGAAATGCACCTTTGAGGGGCTTTGTTAACGACAATGATGATGTCAAAGAGGCAGCTAGACTTACCGCAAGGCAGAAGGTGAACCAGTTGGAGTTAATGCTTGGACAAATTGCAAACTTCTGTCCCATCATTTCCCGTAAAACAATAATAAAATCAAGCACCTCGTTGAACTTTATATGGCACGCCATACGTTTACACTTTGGGTTCCAGTCCACTGGCGCTCATTTCATCGATTTTGTCGATTTCAAGCTTGAGTGTGATGAAAGACCAGAAGATTTGTACCAACGATTAATGGCGTTTGCGGAAGACAACTTGTTAAAGGACGAAGGTGGCATCACTCACCATGGACAGCTCCCCGATGAAGAGGAAGAATTATCCCCTTCCTTGGAAAATTTTATCATTCTAACATGGCTGAGACTTATTCACCAAGATCTACCAAAAATTGTAAAGCAAAGATACACAACTGATCTTCGTAAAGAACCATTTCCTTTTTGAAACCGGAGATATCTCAAGCCCTTGACTCCCTCCTTGTTGAGATTCACACGTCGGAGGATGCAAAAATCATGAGCTCCACACCAACTACACGTCAGCACCTAGTGAACAGACAGAAGCAAAAAAACCTGTGCCCTCTTTGTTTGGCAGCAGGTCGTCCTGAGAAAGCTCACTTCCTTAGCCACTGGAGATTTCTTCCTGAACAGGACAAGAAGTACATGGTTTAAAGCAAGACAGATTGCCAACATATTTGACGAAGATTAGGTAGAGGACCGATGTGATGAGGCCATCACTGAGACAGAAAGTATGTGTGGAAATATATCATTTTCCACCAAGCGTGTGCAGGTACGTCAATCGCCATATATGAATACCTTCAGTGACTAGTATAAGACTGTATGCCTTACACTTGACAGTGGTGCAGAGGGTAATATTATGCGATTATCTACAGCAACTGACCTTGGCGTGGACATCAAGCCCAGCACACAGTCCTCTCACCAAGCAGATGGTATTTCGCCAATGAAGGTTGTTGGTGAAGTTGACATTAACCTCAGTCGAGATGGTAGAGATTTCTCTTTCAATGGGCTTGTTGTAGAAGACCTTGATGTCGAAGTGTTGGCAGGCATTCCCTTTATGGAGGTCAATGACGTGACTATACGACCAGCAAAACGTCAAATTATCCTTTCTGATGGAACTATCTATACCTACCCAGCAAAGCGCAATTCTATCCCAAACAAGCCATCCATCAGACACACATGTAGTTTACGAGCCCCAAACCAGAGCACTACCATATGGCCAGGCGATTTCATAGAATTGTGTGTCCCTGAAGACTACTCTAAAGAAGATGGAACTTTCGCTGTTGAACCACGAACTGACACTAGATCCGATCATTCTACATTGTCGCCTGACTGGCCAAAGCTAGACATAATATCCCGTGTAAATGGAAGAATCAAGGTACCCAACCTGACAGACATTCCACAAGTCTTAAAGAAGCATGAACATTTCTGTCAGGTTCGCTCGGTTCAAGCACATGACATCACTCCCAACATAGACCCTGTCAATGTCCCATAGTCTACTCCGACATCCGTCAGTGTCCCACACTCATCACCAGTGTCAGTTGACCCTGACCACATCTTACCTGAAAATTTCAAGTCCATGTTCGAGTCTGTGAATAGGGAATATGATGAAGTCTTTGACCCCAATATCACAGGCTACAATGGAGCATCCGGACCCTTCCAAGCACAGGTCAACATGGGAAAGGTAAAGCTTCCATAACACAAGGGTAGAGTTCCCCAGTACAGCAGAGACAAACTGGTTTAGCTACAACAAAAGTTTGACGAACTTGAAGATTTGAGCTTATTTGTCCGACCCGAAGATGCCAATGTTCAGGTTGAATACTTGAATCCATCTTTCCTGGTGAGAAAACCAAATGGAACGTTCCGCCTCGTCACAGCCTTCTCAGATGTAGGCCGTTACAGTAAACCACAACCCTCTTTGATGCCAGATGTAAACTCTACTCTGAGACAAATAGCCCAGTGGAAATACCTGATAACAACAGATCTGAGTAGTGCCTTCTACCAGATCCCCTTAGCAAAGGACTCTATGAAATACTGTGGCGTTGTAACCCCTTTTAAGGGAGTTAGAGTATATGC